CTTTTAAGTTTTTAAGAGTTTTCGAACTTTTCGTATCTGCTGTTTTTTTTTTTTCTTTTTCTTTTTTTTTTCGGGAAGAGGTGGAGAATTCCATTATCAAAGCACAAAGACTCTGATGCCGGGAATCCTGAGCAAACAACCCGGTGGGACCAGATATGCTGGGACCATTATCAAAGCGCAAAGACTCTGATGCCTGTCCTGCCAGGTCCGCTCGGACCATTGCCTAGTGTATAGGTTCAGCCTGTCGGCTAGCGATAGAGTCTGATGTCTTCCAGTTGACATACGAGCCCACTGGTTTGGTCGTCAGAAACTACCCTCGTCACTTGAATAGAACGCCCCGCCCGGTCATTATATCTGTATTTGGCAGAACTTCAGTCTAGATACAGTGAAAATGACCGGGCATTCTATTCGGGTGAAGACGGTAGGTGGGAAACAGACTGAAAAAGAAAATACTATATTCCTAAATAGAACCATATCTGGTGTCTTAATAGAGCCTTGGACTGTCCAGTTGATGTAGCTCAGTGGTTAGAGCACCGGTTGGAAATGCGCATTGTGGTATGAGGTTGCGGGTTCAAATCCGCAGTTTCACGCATGGACACCGGCAGGGCGTTAGAATGACGCACGGCTGGACACACACACACTTGGGCTGGCGCACGGTAAGCTTATACAGACACTGCCTGCGAACCACGCAAGGGGTTGTCCATGGTGGTTGTATGTCGGGTCTTGATACTGCGTGGATTGCTTGTGGTTGTTGCTCGTGGTTGTTCTGTTGATCTCCCCAGTCTGGCATATCACACGGGCCGTTTGCGATTGTTGCGCAAGTGGTAGAGTCTTCAGGTCACATGTCATAGATCATGGGTTCGAGTCTGGCTTGGGACTTTCGGGGGATTCTTGTCCAGCTTGGCCTGTTATCGCTTCAACGAACACATAATTCCCTCTGCATAGTACTGCACATATCTGGCCTTCGGGCACATACATCTCGCTATACAGTTACACAGAGCGCACATAGCCTTCGGGCAGACAAAAAACATGGCCCTGTGGGCTCATACAGACATACATAGCCTCTGGCCGTACACACATACACACAACTACGTTACTGGGCTGGGGGGGGTCAATCAGGTATATGACGGGGTCTACTCACGCATGGCTTAGCTCTAGGGTAGGGTAGGGATATTAGTCACTCCGGTTAGTCTGAGTTCCGCCTAGCCTTGGGTAAAGTTAGGGGAAGGACGGTAGGATGTGTCAGTGGGCGCTGGCTTGCCTTGCTTAGGTACTCCTGCTGGGTAGACTCTCCGAATTGGGCCTTCAAAAGATTGCATGAGCCTGGTGTCTGAAGTTCCTGTACGGCAAGGTTCGTCCGCTTCCGCTTCCGCAACCCCCCAGCCTTGGTGCTTGCCACTGCTGTCTGGTCCAAGTTGCCCTCAATACTGGTAGGGTGATGGTCCTGAGTGCTGGTCATACTGAGGTAGGATAGTTGGGACAGGGGGTGCGCTGGGAGTATTAACGTGGGGATGAGTATAGGGTAGGTGGCCTATCCTGTCAGGACAACCGTTGGCTGCCGCTACCAGCAATTACCGCAGGTCTGGTCCTTGGCCTCTACAGCACCCTGGGCTTAAAAAAAGAAAAAAAAGAAAAAAAAAACGTAGAGCCTTGGACTGCCTACCTTAACCACTGCCAATATTTACTCTTAGGTGCCCACTACGTGGTGGGTGCCACAACCTCTCTTCCATATCAACGTTATTTTTCTTTTTCTTTTTTTCTCTTTTTTTTTTTTTTTTTTTTTTTTTTTTGTTTGTTGAAGTAAACATCGCCGAGATGCCTATTATTGGAGGTCATAAGAGCACTCTCCAATAATAGGCTCCCTGTTATAGATGTCTCCGATCTCTTGGTGGGGGGGCAGCTGCACCAGCTGAAACCCGGGTCCAGTGTCCCAATTATGAAGAAAATGGAGCAAATTATGAATTGTAGCTGACGAGCAGAGGATTGAATGCCCTCAAACGAAACGAGGGAGGGGATTCACCACTGCTAATCAGACTGCACGCTGTAACAACCTCCCATCCCACCAAACCGTCTTTATTTACTTATTTATTTATTTTAAATTATTAAATTATTATTTATTTTTCAAACCGTCATTTTTTGCTCCGTATCCTACAGAGAGGGGAGCAACGTCTTCAGATAAGAACAGGAGCGCAGAGGTTAGGCAGTGAAGTAGGGCCACAAAAACGTTTGTAAGGGACGCCAGGCCCGATTCCTGGCTTTATATAAGAATAAGAAAAGAAAAAAAAAAGGGGGGGAGAAGAATTTTTTTTTTTTTTTTTTTTTTAGGTCGTGCAGGATGAGGCATAGGCAGGCCCTACCCTGACAGCCAGTGCTTTGATTGCACTCCCACGACACACCCAAGGGGAAGAGCAGGGGGGCATTCCAAGCCAGGAGATTCCCAATGGTACCCAGTTGCTCAGTCCCCCCCACTCCCCCCCCACCCGGGCAACTATGTATGTTGCGAGCACACCCAGCATGATGCTCAACGGGCATGACATAGTTTTTTTAACTCTTTTTCAGTTCTTTTTTTTTTTTTTTTTTTTTTTTGCGCTGGGATTGCCCGGGACCTTGACCGGGACTTTGCCCGAACCTGGCCTGGTCGGGCCCGCCCCCCTGGGACAATCTGCGGCGGCTGGTAACCCAGGTTTGTGTGGATATTTCCAGTCCGCCTGCATCATCCCGCGCCTTCTTTGCATCCCAGGTGGGTGCTTTGGCTATGATGCGACGTATCGAGCAGGTTTTGGCAGGAACCGCCGGAGACTTGCGGTTCCCGCTAAAACCTGTCGGGAAGTTCAGGCCTGTTGTTGTTTTGGTAGTTTGGGGTTTCTTCGCCCGGAAGAGGCCCGGAGAGTGGTTGAATATCGTCGGGGGTTCGAAACCCGTCGTTGTTTAGTCCCCTTTTTTGGGGACAGAGGGGGGGGAGGCTTTCGTCTCGGTTTGTTAATGACAAGATTGTGCGTTTCTTAAGTGCACGTTGATCTTCGATGAGAAGATACTCTGCATGTGGACTTCACTTTGTGGGCTCGTGTGTGAATCTGTTCGTCCCTTTGCATCCATCGCTGCTTCAATCGGAGTTCTTAGGCTACCCTCCTAAACCAGGAATTTTGCAATACCCCCTTTAAACCAGAGTTTGCCTTTAAGAAAGAAGGGGGTTGTGGGGGTGATTTTTTTATTTAAAGGGGGTTATGGCAAGGGGGCAGCGAGATGGGAGAATGTTGTGAAGAGGTTAGGTGGTCCCATTGTGAAGAGGTTAGGTGGTCCCATTCCCATGCATCCCACACTCTTATAAATAGGCTCACTCCGAGAGAGTTTGGTCGATTTTGAGTGATTTGAATTTATTTATTTATTTATTTATTTATTTATTTATTTATTTTTTTGAATCATTTGATTGATTTGATTGATTGATTTAGAATTTTTTATTTGATTTGATTTGACTGATTTGATGGATTTGATTGATTTTGAATTTTTGATTGGTTTTGAAGGTGCAGGATGCTGATTGATTTGATTGATTTTGAATTTTTGATTGGTTTTGAATTTTTGATTGGTTTTGAATTTTTGATTGGTTTTGAAGGCGCAGGACGCTGATTGATTTGATTGATTTGATTGGTTTGTATGATTTGATTGGTTTGTATGATTTGATTGATTTGATTGATTTGAAAGGATTGTCGATTTTGATTGAGTTTGATCAAGTTTGATTGATTTTGAGCTACCAGAGTGGCCCGGGGTCACTTGCCCGGCCAGGCCAAAAAAAAATTAAAAATAAAAATAAAAAATATATTTTTGAATCGTATTTTTAATTCTAAATTTGGTGAAGAATTTCGATGTGACCCCAAGGCAAAAGTTGTTCAGTTTATTTTTATTCACAGCATAGGTTTTTTTTCGGATTTTTCAGAGTTTTTTTTTTTTTTTTTTTTTGCTGGACCTTCCCTGGTCCTTGCGCGGGCTGGCCACCGGGGACCCGGGCGGCCCGGATGGTAGCCTAGATTTTGAGTGATTTTTTAAAGGATTTCATGAGTAGCAGTGTCCTGTGCCTTAGGCGTGTTCTGAGTTGCTATTTGAAGAGAGTGGGCTCATTGCAATTTTTTTTTTTTTTTTTTTTTTTTGAAGGCCCTTGTGCAAGGCCTCTATCCCAGTAGACTCTTGATGAAAGATGCGATCAAAGATTTTTGGATCGAGATTGGATCGAGATTGGGTCGATGTTGGAGTGAGATGTGGTTTGATTGGTTGTGTTTGAAGAGTGGGTTCATTGCAATTTGATTGATTTGATCAAAGATTGCATTGAAGATTGGATCAAGATTTGACCCAGGGATTGGATCGAGATTTGGTTTGATTGGTTGTGTTTGAAGAGTGGGCTCATTGCAATTTGATTGATTTGATCAAAGATTGGATCGAAGATTGGATCAAAGATTGGATCGAAGATTGGATCGAAGATTGGATCGAGATTCATCCGAGATTCGACCGAGATTGGACCGGGAGATTGGATCGAGATTGGATTGAAGTTCGATTTGACCAAGTTGATTGAGGTTGATTTGATGGATTCGATTTGATTTGATCGATCGATTTTTGACCGAGATTCGATTGATGTGATTGGTTGTGGTTGGCAGGCGAGGGATTCCGTGAACAAGGTCATCGAGCAGGCGAGGAATGCGAAACTGATCGGGGCGTCGCTCGAAGCAAAGGTGTACTTGCACAGTCAGGATGGTTGGCTATCTGAACAGCTAAGGAAGATGACGTCCACAGAAATCAACGGTGGAGAAAATCCGGTCGACAAGCTGCAATATATTTTCCTTACATCACAGGTGAAAAAAAAAAAAAAAAAAAAAAAAAAAAAAAACACAGAGAAGTACACACCATAAGCAGTTTTTTCACCCTCAACCTCCATCTCCATAGCCTGCGTGCCGCCATAGCCAGAAGAATGAAAACTTCAAAACTGAGAAAAGTGCACACCATAGCCAGAAGCTCCAGTTGTTTCACCCTCAACCTCCACCTCCATAGCCTGCGTGCCGCAATAGCCAGAAGCTAATTCTTCATCCTCAACGTCCTTTCCCACCATATGCCTGCCTTCATGTTCTTTCATCCCCATAATAAGCCATAGCTTAGAATCATCCTTCAGCAACCCCCAACCATGGCTATTGGCTATTAGCTATTGGCTATCTGAAAATTGTGCAATAAGGGACGCTGCACCCGGTTTCCAGTGAGCAGGTGCTGATCCCCACTAATCAATAGACTGGAGCACCCAGCGGGTCTGCTGGAAGGAGGTGTGCTTTTATCACTCCCTCCAACAGGCCAAGACTGGCGTTAAAAAAAAAAAAAAAAAAAAAAAAAAAAAAAAAGAGCTATCAGAAGTGTGCTATCTGCTATTCTCTTTCTTGTTCCCACAGCGGAGAATCATCCTTCATCAATCCCAAAGCACAACTATTTGCTAATTGCTATTGGCTATCGACCGTCGGCTATTCGCTATTAGCTATTGGCTATTGCCTCTTGTGTCTGACCTGGTTTTCTAACCTGGTTGGGTGACCAGCCTACTGGTTTTCTGACCTACTGGTTTTCTGACCTGCTGGCTATTGCCTATTGGCTATCGACTATCGACTATTGGCTATTAGCTATTGGCTATTGGCTCTCATGTCTGACCAGGTTTGGTGACCAGCTAGTTTTCTAACCTTCTGGTTTTCTGACCTGCTGGCTATTGGCTATCGACTATCGACTATTGGCTATTAACTATTGGTTATTGGCTCATGCGTTTTCTGACCTCCTGGCTATTACCTATTGGCTATCGACTATTGACTATTGGCTATTAGCTATTGGCTATTGCCTCTCATGTCTGACCTGGTTTGGTGACCAGCTGGTTCTCTGACCAGCTGGTTTTCTGACCTACTGGTTTTCTGACCCTGCTGGCTATTGCCTATTGGCTATCGACTATCGACTATTGACTATTAGCTATTGGCTTTTGGCTCATGCATCTGACCCGGTTGCCTAACCTTTTTTTTTTCTTTTCTTTTTGTTTCAAACCAACGACCTCTACTAGAGTGGGCGATAAGAGCAGGCACCTCTAGTAGCGGTCCCTGGTTGCTCCATCTATTGGTGGGGAGCTGCACCTGGTGCAAACCGGGTCCAGCGTCCCTGTACAATACCTGGTTTGGTGACCTGCTGATTTTCTGCCCTCTGTGGTATCGTCTGAATGTCGTGCAGGCTGAAGTAGTGACGTCAGCGGCAAGTTTTGCTAAACTAGGGCTAGAATTTACGGGGGCGTCGTCTTTGGAGGGCGTTGAGGGCGAGCTACTGGTTGGAGTCGCTAGAGCCGACGGGAAGAAATGCGATCGCTGTTGGAATTTCTCTCCTCTTGTCGGAAGCGAGCCGGACCATCCCGCTGCGTGTGAGCGCTGCGTACCAGTGCTTCGAACGCTGAGACATAAACAGGGCATGGAAGTCGCGGCAGTCTAAGTAGGGCGTACTCACCACACTTGGACGTTCATTCAACAACGTATCTGGCTGGGAAATACGGCCAGATTCGCTTGTTGAAAAAAAATCCTATTGTCACTGCGGGCCATCCGAAGAAGAACCTAAAGAAAAGAAAAAAAAAAAAGAAAAAAAGGAAAAACCGAAAAGTTGGAAAGTAGGGCAAACCTGAATTTTGAATGTTGAGGTGAGAAGCGGAGATCACAAAAAAAAAAAGAAACAAAAGTGTGAAGTCATGTACAGTTTTTTTCTTTTTTTCTTTTTTTTTCCCCTTTTTTTTGTGTGCGTGTGTGTTTGTTCTGAGTCTTCTGATTCTTCTGATTTTTCAGAACCTGCTTTTTTTGTTTGCTCTCTTCTTCCCCCCACCCCC